TTATACTGTATATATAATAAAATAGGAATGATAATGCGAGATATTAACTTACTGTTGCAACGCTAGAGTAAACGAGTTATACAAAATACATGACCCTTAAAAAATTATTGCTTTGTTTAATTAAAACCACTGAAAATTCGATTAGTGAATTAACTATTAAGTAATACAAGAGACTCGTGATACTTAAATAACATATATATAAAATGTTTCGTCGCAATTTGAGACTGAAAGGAGCGTGTTTTTATAGTAACGGCAAATGGAATGTGTACTCCAACACAATAGGTATAGTAAGCCGTAATTGGTAAAAAATACAATGATTTCAATTAATGTTTTCGTTTATAATGACACCGGATATCAATTTGTATTATTGTGTACATAAGATTATCATGTACATAAATGCGAGATCAGATCACTGCTCTTTTATAACCCGTAAATCACCGCGTACTCGGAATCGTATGTAGGTGATCACCAAAGATACGTGAAATCATTAAAACATGATTATGCGTTATATGGGTAATTCATGTGATACGTACGAACAGCGTCTCGAAGTCGTTTCTGAAGCGTAAAATCTCAGAAAGACAGTTTCGCACTGGCCGAATTAGCATTGAGAAAGTAATATCGTGAGAAAGACTTATTTTCATGGTAATTTACTAGTGGCGATATGATTTCCCTTGATTTATATCGAGCATCTGAAACAGGTTTGTTATAGATATTTAACCTAGATTCTTTTCTCCGATAAAAAGAATACAGTCTTTCATTACGCTTCTGTATGACGATTCGTATAAATATGTATGTAATTCACTTTCTGTTATACATAATAAATAAAATTATTTTACTTTATATAACATTATTTAAGTGCAAACATGGAACGGGAAATATTTTTCTTCTAGTTAATAAAAAGGATATATTAAAGAATGTTTAAAATTCAATACCACTAATTGTGAATATAATTCGTCCAGCCTTTATAAATCATTTGGCTATATTCCGATGCTTTTTACTACAATCTTACGCAATATATAACGTAAAAAATAATCTACTAAAAATAATTTTGTATGTAATCCTTAAATAATCTACTAATTGTGATACTACGTAACAATTAATGAATTATTATGATTTATTATATTAATTTCAACAATTAGCAATTTATATTGATGATCATACATATACTCTGTTCAACGAGAGAATGACCTCGGTTTGCGCATAGTAAGCAATGTAATTCTGTACAATCTATACTGCGCAAAACGGACGAGTTTTCGACCGATCCGAGATCATTCTCTCATTATAGAATGTTTAATGTGACAGATAGAAGAAAATAGATAGTAATAATTGAATTTAAAAAATATATCTTATTTTGCGATATTTACAATAATTATTGAGAAATTAATAAAAATCAGCGAATGAACATGTATTCGCGCGATTCTGCAAATATAAGCGCGCGGGAAAGAAGAGATAACCCGACGTTATATGATGATCATGATTGATTACAATTGTGATGAAACATTGGGAGTTCCAATGTTCGCAATTTGGGATTGAAAGGAGCGTGTTTTTATAGCAACGGTGATACATAATGGATTTATTCCGCAAACGCAATAGGTGTAGTAAATCGTAATTGGTAAAACCACAATGCTTTCAATATTTTTGTTTATAATGACATATATATAAGTTACATGTATCCGGTAAATCGTTATAAATCAAAACATTAATTGAAATCATTGTGTTTTTATTAATATACATATATATGTTTATGTCATAAACATAAAGTTAACTCAAACTTAACTTTTATGATAAGTAGCAGTAAATTTATATAAATTATTATATTGAATTTATCAATTATGAAATAACAGTTAACAGTTTTCAGCCTGGATAAACACTTCATATTTTGTACTGTCTTTTGTTGCTGATTATTGAAAAATTCATAACTTTCTACAATATTTATACATGATATACTTAATAAGTTTTCTATTTGTGTAATTCAATTATAAAATGCAATTGCATATTTTTAAATTAAACTTTATATTTTTGGTCTAAATATTTGTTATTTTATTCATAAAAGTATTAAAAAAAAAAGTATTTTCTAAATTTATGTTATTAAAATATTTATAGAATGATGGAGGTTATTTAGATAATTTTATTTTTATCCAAGCATATAGCAATATATCAATATATTTTCATCTTTTCCAAATAAATGTTTCTTAATATGTTTATTAATAAATAAATGTTTTTGCATTAATCGATTAATTTTCTTGTTTTGTGCATTAATTATACATTATCAAATGGAAGCTTATTATAATTAATAGTTATTTTCTTATTATCGCTATTGATTGAAGACTCATTATTTATTAATATTTTATTATTCTTACCATTCTGTTATTTATTAGGAATTCGATATTAAGTAAGTTATCCATATCTATTATATTCTTCTATACAAAAGATGTGATATCAATCGCTTTTTTTATCAATATAATCATCAATATAATCATCGAATACATGGAATCACACATTATGTAATAAAACTAATATAGTATACATTTCAGTTTTATAATTCTTTTTCGCTTTAATCACATTTTTTTTTTACAAAAATCTGATTTTTCTAAATATTCAATCAAATTTATTTAAGATATGTATTATAGTCATTTTGATAATTACAATGGAAAATATGTTTAAGTAGTTATGTCAACTGTGTACTTCTTCAAAATAACACCTGACGTATAAGCAAAAAGAATTTTTACAGGATTTCCTGCTGCAATTCCTTCCATGTTCTTTAATTAATAAAATATACTAAATTAAATTTACAAGAGTATCGATTTTATCAAGAAAAAATAAAAAAGTTTATAATAACTTGTTTTATAATTATAATAAGATATTTTTTGTACTAAATCTCTCATATTTCTTTATTTGAAATAAATAATTTTTATTTGCATAGTAAAAAAATTTGTACATTGTGTTGAAAACGATCCACTCACGTTTGTGTTGAATTTTTCAACATATTCGAATGTTAATTTAACATAATGTGATTTTATTTAAAGATTTTTTTGTAAAATTGATATTCAATGTTTCTTAGTATCAAAATGACACAATTTATGAGTAAGTCAATAAGTGACATAAAAATAATGTGTTTTAACGTAAATTCT